TGGTCAGGTATTAATTTTTTCCTTAATATTTTAAAACTCAACATAATCTAGCTTGTATACCTCTTTCGTTTTTCTTAAGTATTACCTTTATGAAATAGTAAATTGTCTTTCGGTATATATATTCTGTACTTGGTCATTAGCACAGCGAGTTGATTGGTAAATTATTTGAATCCCACCACTGGTCAGCGTCCACTCAACAGGAAACTGCTTATGTTTTGTTTTCTTGTTGTCTAGAGACCTACAAACTGGCTGTCAGATTCTATCTTAATTGCCTCTCTCGGACTTTTTAACATTCAAGTTTGATCCTTCCAGGTCCTGAGCTCAATACCTCTTGGTTTGACCTTGATCCGCACTCCAGCTCTGCCCTTCATTAAACCAAACTCTCTACAAGCCTTGATCTTCTCGACCCCATGCTCCTCTCGGAGGTCTCCTCTCCCTCTCTCTGGGCCACCTGAGCCCTGTGTCTCAGCACCCACCAACGTGCTATGATTGTATGTCTACTGCAAAAGCATACACAGCGCATCTCAGCAGTCGTAGGAGGAGAAAAGATTTATTATCCTCGAGTTGTTTGGAGTTTTAGTTAGGCTGCCTTTTCTTATTTCCTGATTCTTCAGCTCAGAAATCCAGTGAATGTTGGTATTTTAGAGACTTGGGATCTTGAGGGTTACTGCCCCGCACCTTGTGTCTGAGTGTCACCCACTCTGCCTCCAGCAGCTTCATTGCCAAGTGCTCTGGGTGCCTTTTGTTGCTGAGCGAGTGATCATTGGACACTCGAGAGCAAGAGATGAATGTGAGTGTTGCTGTTGCCCCAGCCCATGATTTGTAGCTCGGCCCAAGGACGCTCTCATCCCCAGTGATCTGTGTCGCTTAGAAATGCTCCATATCCTTCCCCATGATGGCTGTCCACAGTTACGTGTGTCATAAATATATTTTTCATTTGCCAGGAGAGTACTGGGTTTGTTTTAATTCTGAGAGGTGCTCACGATGCGATAATTTATATCCCCAGTGCCGCCTTGACAAGGGAGTAAGACTGTCTGATTTTCAATTTGGGCTGAAAAGCAAACCGATGCTCTGACGACAGAAAAACACCCTGTACCCTGCAGATTAATCTTGGTTATCTTGCCATGACACACTCCTGTGGTAGGAACCAATCTCCATTTCTTGTTCCTGTCAAAAGCTTGATTGGAAAACTTTTACTATAGGGATGCTGTCATTTCTAAAATCCCGTTCATTTCATGTGTGTTCCAACCATAGGATAGTCATACTTTTGGGGGGCAGGGGGACCCAGAAGAATTTCTATAAACAGAATTTAAAAAAAAATAAACAGACATGTTAAGGATCCTTTATTGCATGATTTCTAATATTTTGGGGGAAAATCACCCTAAATTCATTTGAGAAGTATATTATTCTTATAGTGGGCTTTGTTTAAATGCAGTCATATTAATAAGAAGCAGGCAGGATTACCAATGGTCTCCTGATCTTAATAGCTCCAACTTAGTATTCATTGCAACAGGGGACTGCAGGTTTGGGAAATTCTACATTTTATCACTCCTACTCAAATGTTCACCAAGAAAGTTTGTCACCTGCTGGCCTTTCTTGTTTCATGAAGTGAAATGCCCAAGAAGCTGGCATAGCGTATTAGGTACACTATTAGGTAATCTCTCAGCCAGCAGTTCTGTAAGTCTCTGTATTTTGGTTAGCTACTGGTGTAACAAATCACTCCTCAACATGGTGGTTTAAAACATGTATTATTGTGTTTCAAAATTCGGTATGTTGTTTGACTCAATTGGTTGGTCCTCTCTTGGTCTTCTCACGTGTGGTTACAGTTTGGTGTCTGGTAGAGCTGCAGTATCTGATGGGTATCGCTGGGCTGGGCAACAAAAGTGGCACCCTCCCACAAGGGGCAGTAGAGGTTGGTTGTCACCTGAGAGCTCAGCAGAGCCATGGCAAGAGCACTCACACATGACCTCTAGTGTGGCTTCTGCGTCCCCTAGGGGGTGGGCTCCACGAGGGGTGTCTCTTAAAAGTGAGTGTTCCGAGAGACCCAGGAAGGATTGTAAGGTTTTTAATGGCCTGGTCTCACCCTCTCAGAGCAGCACTCTGGCACATTCCATTGGGCAAACGCCATGCAGATTCAAGGCTTGGAGGATCAGGCTTTGCCTCTCGATGAGGGTTTCAGCATGTGAACACAGGACATGAACTGGATGGTGTCTGCTTTTTGAGTATCCACCATATTGCATGTAAGAGGAAAAAGAGTCTTTAGAGAAATATAATTATCAAAATATGGAGGGCAGAAGAGACCCTGAGGATGGGGTTGAGGGAAGCTATGGAATGTTTACCTTATCCAAGTGGTTTACCCAAACGAGTCAGTTAGCACTCAGGGCAGGGTCGGGAGCACACACTAAATGAGCCAGTTGGCATCCCACCTGCTGACCCTGGTCTTAAATCAGACCACCCAGATTACAGATGATTGAAAAAGGACTTGTAAGGAAGTCTAAATAGGACAGTTTGAAAGACCCAAACAAGAAATCCTCAAAACCCCAGACCACCTGCCAATGAGTTGATTGCCTCGCGTAGCAACCCCATGTGTGTCAGGCCGGAGTTGTACTTTGTAGGGTTTTCACCGGTCTCTTCTAATGAAAGTAGACCCCCGGGACTTTCTTCCAGGGCACTGCTGGGTAAATTCAAACTACCAACTTTTTGGTTAGTAGCCAAGGGCAAGCAAGCCACTTGTACCACCCAAGGCCCTTAGAAGACAGGGATAACTTCAACATATCAACCAGAAGCTATCTCAAGTCAGTGCAAACATCATCTTAAATTAGAACTGCCTATTATTTCACAAACACAGAGAAACTGTGAAGTAACGAATCTGCATTTGGTTGTTGCTCATATTTTTGGAGGTAGCTTAGAGAAACCTGTGCCCATAGAATGCCTTATATACTTACTCTGAATACTTTTCGTTTTATGTTGGAGGAAAAGTCAAGGTCTACCCAGGTGCTTGAATGTATAATTGCCTCCTTAGCCTTCATGAGGGAAATAGCTGCCTAGTTAATTATATTGAGTCAGAGGTGCCTGGATTCCAGCTGTGGGGCTAGGCTGATCTACCTGCAAAGGCTGACAACTCCCTTGAATACATTACCTTTAACTCTCTGTGGCAGTGTTTCCTTTCCCCTTGCATACTCCTCTCTGACTCCTTGAGGACTAACAATGGTGTTTATCTGTGCTGAAAATCTAGCGGCAAGTTAAGCAACATTTCAAACTATTTACACCCACAGGCTGTTCCAGGAATTAGTTAGGTTTTGCATTAGATGCATGTTAAATTGTTTGCTGCTGGGGATGGTGGAAAGAGAAGCCTTGTGTGTGAAAGCATTGGTTGAGGAGAGATTGAGAGAAGCTTGATTAGAGTATGACTGTTTGAGATCAGAACCCTTACTGATAAGTCTGCCCTGGGTGTCGCATACGATTAAGCACTCCGCTGCTAGTGGAGGGTGGGTGTGGTTGAACTCACCCAGGGATGTCTCAGGGGACACGCTGGCAATCTGCTTCAGAAGGTTGCAGCCTTGAAAATCTCTCTGAGCAGTTCTCTGCACGCGTGGGGCCACTGTAGTTGGAATCAACTCCACCGCTACTAGCAATGACAATGAGAGCAAGAACTCGGCCGACTATTCAAACGATCTCTTGCAACTGCTAGCGATAGAGGGTTCTGGCCATGCCATTTTTATAGGGCCCATGTTTGTATTCTACCTGTTGGGCATTTGGCAGAGGCCAAGAGCAAAGAGGAAGGAGAAACTGGATAGAGGGATGAGGAAGAAGACACCATGCAAATGCAAACCTTAAGGCAGTGGCTAGACTGTGGAAAGAATGGGCCTGGCTTGTCTGACATCTTCCAAGGGTGGGGAGCCTTTCTTCCCAAGGACCTTTTGGATATTAACAACATCCTTCATTGGCCACACAAAATTATCTACTGACAAAATAGTCTCCTATATTTGGGCAAACATTTAGTGAACTCACCCTAATGTGATTTCTGGAACTGCTTCTCTTAGGTGAGGTGTGTGCTGCTGAGTGGTGTGGATGATTTCTTGGGCCTTATATGGCCCTCGGTCTGGATTTTCCCCGTGCCTGCATGAGAGGCTCTTAGACAGGGGAGACCCCTCTTGTTCTTAGCTCCTCCGGAAAGGGTTCACACCTGCCGCTCAACTCTCAGTCACACGAATGTAGACCCTGGGTCTACCTTTCTTCCTTGCTTCACTTCGCTATGCAAATGTTTTAAATAACTTTTTTATTGGTCATATGTTCAAATGACAGTATTTTCCCCTCCCATGTATCCTTCAAATTCTGCTTCATTTGGTGTGAAAAACATTAGTGGTCTCATGCAATATTTGTCTTTCTGAGATGGGCTAACTTTGCTGAGAGTAATAGCTTCCCAGTCTGTCCATGTCATGGGGTGTTTGACAGCTGCCTTGTGGTTTTTTGGAGACATAGAATATTCCATTGTGTGCTTGTACCAAAGGGTATGCACCCAGTCCTCCACAGTCAAGCAGTTTGACTGCTTCCGTGTTTTTGCTATTGTGTATAAAGTCTTAATGATGCTCGCACACTGTATTCTATAGAGAAGTGAAGCGTGTGAGCTGTCCTATCGGGAGACAGAGAAGGAACAAATATTGCAATTGCAGATGATGACTAGTGCTATTGAAGAAAGGACTCATGATGAAGGATCACAGGTAGACCCCGTTTCAGGGAGAAGAATCCCAATTGCCATCTGAGGAAGAGATATAAATCATTTCAAGGATATTGATTAAACATTGAAATGTATTATGTGTTGGTGTAAAGATCCTTACGTAGAATGTTGTGAAGATTCAAATTAAAGCCACGTTTGTCTTTTCCTGAACTCAGAGAGCAGACTGGCAAAAGGTAACAATTCTAGAAAACAGAGCAAGTTAGCCTGGGTGACCAGCTCCTTCTTGGCCGACACTTTCCTCATGACGCCTTTCTCTCCTTAGGGAAAGGAGATGTGTTTGGAGATGTGTTTTGGAAGGAAGCCACTCTTGCCCAGTCCTGTGCCAACGTTAGGGCCTTGACCTACTGTGACCTGCATGTCATCAAACGGGACGCCCTGCAGAAAGTCCTGGAATTCTACACGGCCTTCTCCCACTCCTTCTCCCGGAACCTCATTCTCACCTACAACTTGAGGAAGAGGGTGAGCTGACGATTTCCATTTCTTCTCGACAGAGAGCCATGCCTGTGTCCTTAAGATGGCCGCTTGGGCCAGGCACGTTCTTTCGGTATTTACTTCTGTGGAGCAGTCGGTTCAATCGAGTTCATTGCTAGGTTCTCAAAGCATTTGTCACGCAGCGAGGGCGAGAGGGGAGGTGGCTAGACTAAAGGATGGATTAATTTTGGTGCAGAAAGGATTTGTTCATGTGTCTGCCTGTGGGTGTTTTTCCTAGCAATCTCTAGACCTGGCCTTTTGAAAAGATGAGTAAGACATAAGGTTTTTAGTCAATAAAATGGCTCAGTGGGGACGCTTAATTAATGTCAACAGAGTTCTCCTGGTGCCTGGGACTGGCTGGGTGGTGTGAAACCATTAATAAGCTGGAATAATAACTTTTAAAGGGTATGGAAACAATTTAGTTGGGTCCAGGAAATCAGCAAGACATGGAATCTGATAGCCTAGAGAACATTTTGTATGAACTGTCAATTTTACTGACTGCTAAAAATGACTAGTTGTTATGAACCCGATTTCTCCTCGGAAGCTGGTTGATTCTCCAGTCGTGAGACTGGCTCTGTCTGTCTCTCAGAGAATTGCGATACATGTCTGTACTCTTTAGGGCTCCATGGCTGACCTGCTTACACTTTGTTGTCAGTCACGAAGTAGCTCTAGATCTCGAGGAGTCCCCTGGAAATTATACCCTAGAAGTCCTCCCGGGCAAGTCCTCAGTACTACGTTCCAGACTCTGACCATTCAACGAAGCCAACATTCTACTTCCAACTCTTTGAAATCCCTTTCCACCGTCGCCTGGTGCTCCTCTCAGAGAGCTGAGAGGGCAAGGTCTTGGCACCTTCGTATCTGCAATGCCCAACTCAGTGTGGGACACTTAGGGCATTAATCACTATCTGAGGGTGGCAAAGAACAAGATGGGGTCGCAGGGCCTCAGTTTCCCCGTGATAAGGTGTGTGGCTTTGGCTTGATGGTTTTTATGGTTCTATGCTTCGAAACATGATCCTTTAAAGGCCGGAGGGCTGTGGGGTGAATGCAGTGTCCCCAGTTCTTCCTTGGTTAGCTGTTTGCCGGGAACATGGGATGTTTGCTGCTGATCCTTGTCCCAAAGGGGATATTCTTATATGTCTATATTTATTTATTCCTTGGAAAGCAAGCTGATTATAATTGGTTTTCAGTGTTGCTGGATAATACAGGTTGAGGAGGGGGGATGCAGTTGGGGTTTTTTAGAGGAATAGTCATCCTGGGATAATTGCAGTAAATCTGCCTTAAAACACCAACAACATAAACAGAAGCGACAACAAGAACAGCCCCAGCTCAGCGGCTGGAGGGTTGGTGTGGGCACAGGGATGGACGATGCTGCCGGGAAGGGAATGCTGCGTCACACCTTTGAAGAGCTGCCAGCAAGGAGACTCAAGCTGGTGCGTGCAGCTCCCAGAAGCAGGGGGAGAACCACCGCTTCCGAGAGACCCATTCCACAGCCGTAGCCCGGAGACCTTTGGGAAGACGACAGCTGCCCAAGGAAAGGGGTGGAAGCGGCAGCTTTGGGTGGTCTCTAGTTCCTTGTCCTGAGGGCACTGAGGACGCTCCCTAGAAACGCAGGTTCAGAAACACGTCAGGGGGATCTTTCACATCTCATGGGGAGAGTTAGACTCGTTGACCTTGACATTCCTCTCCACCCAATGGGCTATGGGTCTGCACTGGACTTAAAGGCATTTTAGAGAGCTTCTTGGGGGAAGAGGTAGCGATTCTCTTTTCTGGAAAATGGAGCTTTAGCCATTGTCATGCCTCCTTGTGTCCTTCGGAGAATTAATTCGTAGTTCCAGAGGGCAGCGAAGACAAGGACATTACACGCATGGATTCTTCTGGCAGCTCATTTCTTTCCCTGGCAAGATGAGGAGTATTCTTGTGGCTGTTTTGATCTTGGCAAAACCAAGTGTGTTATTTGCATAGGTTCTGAGAACACAGTGCCTCCAACAGCTGTCTGGGGGGGAAGGGGAGTCTGATCGTGCCGGCCTCCCCCAGTGTACAGCAAAAACTCTGAGAGGAAAGCATCCTCGCGACCTTCAGTCCCTTCCGCATGCACTTGGCCCAGTCCTTTCAGACCTATCACATTGTGTAGAAATCACGGAGACGGGTTGTTCACAGAAGAATTGGGAGTTAGAAGTAATTTGTCTTCCTTCTCACAACGCAGACCTCTGTATTTCTAAATCTCGTGCCTTTCACCCTAAACCAGTGGTTCTCAACCTTCCTAATGCTGCAACCCTTTAATACAGTTCCTCATGGGGGGGTGACCCCACAACCATAAAATTATTTCCATTGCTGCTTCATAACTGTAATTTTGCTACTGTTATGAATCATAATGCAAATATCTGATATGCAGGATGTATTTTCATTGTTACAAATTGAACATCATTAAAGCATAGTGATTCATCACAAAAACAATATGTAATTATATATTGTGAAATATTTCTTTCTAATGGCAAATAAATGAAATTTTGTCTTGAAGCATGGTGAAGCAGTCTTCCCGCTGGGTACTCATATGTGGGCATAGCTGCATGTGGGCGGACCTGCCTGGAGATTGATGGAGGAGCGGTGTCTCAGTTCCTAAAACCATCAGAAATATGTCTTTTCCAATGGTCTTAGGCGACCCCTGTGAAAGGGTTATTTGACCTCCAAAGGGGTGGAGAACCGCAGCCCTAACCCCCTGTTCAAGCATTCCGCGTTGCTCTTGGGGTGAAACTCAGGATATAGCTCTTTGCTTTCTTCTAATCCCACGAAAGCAACATTGCCTCTGGACGGAGGCATAACCCGGGTGCCAATCTAGCCTTTTGACACTGGCGTCTCTTCCTTGTGCACTCAGCTAGACAAGGCCCCAGGCTGGATCCTGTCTCTTCCCCTTTGAATGTCTCACATTCTGAGGAAGTTCTTAAACGTCTGCTTTGCCATTAGCCGGGGATGATGAAAATGTCTAGCTGGTAGGACAGTTATGAGGGCTAAATAACATGTCAAGGCTTGCACACAGGCCAAGGGCGTAGTAAATGCTCAATTAATTGTAGGTAAATCTTATTTTGTTTACAGAAATGATACCCTTCACTGCATTCTCTTGTGTATTTTGCAGTAGGCTGAGGCGGGGTGGTGGGGTGGGGGAAGCACACAGGGTGTGCTTGTACTCTGGAATGTTCTGCTGACTGAGTGTTATCCCAGGGTTTTTCCTCTGTGTTTCTTGCTGCAAAAGCAGGTCCTGCATCCAGAAAGCAGAGCCCAGTGCTGACCCCACGGTCACTTTGGACCCCTTCCATTCCCAGCAGGGAAAACCAGGCTACTCTAACATTGAAGGTCAGGCACCAGGAAACAGAGACTTTGCCAAGAGTAAAGCACTTGTTTCTTCTCAGCGGAGTGGGGCCCTGTGATTGTTCATGAAAAGATGGGGAAGTGGAGCCTGCCTCATCTCAGTCCTTCGGCTTCCAAAGGGGCCAGGATTGAAGGGCCTTTCTGTCCAGACCCTGAGTCTTCCATCTGCAATCAGTGCTTCGTGTGCCCCAGTGACCTCAGTGCAAGCGCCGTCACGACCCCCAGGTGTGTTACATGTCCTTTAACTAGCCCCTCGATCCACGTGGTTTTACGACAGTATTATGACACCTCAAAACCTCAGACCCTGAGCAGAGGCAAATCACTCTGCCCTGGGCCCTCAGTTAATACGTGGCCGATTCCAAACCTTGTGCGGTCTTCTTCTGCTAAGCTCTCTGTATCCTGGATAAACCCAGCGCTCCTAGCAATGCTAGTTGAGTCTAGAAACCTTTACAGGAGCAGCTAGGCTCTTCTTTGTCTCTCAAAATAGCTAGTGGGTTTCAGGCACCCACCTTGAGGTTAGTGACCTCATGCCTAGCCCAAAGCACCGCCAGCGTTCCCTGTGGCCGGCCCCTGTAACCGTGGCGCTCAGCTTCTCTCATCGTAGCACTCTTTGGCCTCTACTTTCTTCCAGACGGTTGGCTTTGGAAGTTTTCTATGTGTCTCCTATGGTCTCCACTATCCCACTTGCTCCCAGAAAGGTGTGTAGTTAAAATCACAGTAAGACCCCAGGTTAGGAGCAAGACATGAGACACTCTCTCCTCATTATGAAACCTCACAATATATTGTTGGCCATGCTGGGAGACAGGAAACACGTCAGACTGCATCTTGGTTAGGCAGCTGGCCAACGTGGTCATGGTATCAATAACTTACTAAAGAAAACAGCCGCTTCGGGGCTGTGGATGCAGGTTTGAAACCTCAGTTGACAATTGACTAGTTGTGAGCCCTTGGACAGTTACTGAAGTCCTCTAAGCCTCGTTTTCTTTCTGTAAAAAGGGTTAATAAAAGTTCTTTCTAAGTTGGCTTATTATTATCGACGTGATTGTTAGTTGCCATTGAGTCAGCTTTAACCCATGGTCCAACATTACATATAACAACCAAAAAGGTGTCAAGTCCTGCAGTGTCTTCAGGATTATTGGGATATTTGAGTCCGTTGCTGCAGTTGTTTGATAATCCATCTCATTAGAAACTTGCCTCATGTTCACCATGACCCTCTGCTTGTCCTTTGATAGTAATGGTCTTTCCAGATGATAAGCCCAGAGTCAGCATGGTGAAGACATACCATCCTTGCTTCATAGATTCAGTACAACAGAAATCAAGCTTGGCATTATAAATAGCCATATGAAGCAGGACAACACAAAGCACAAACCAGTTGCTGTGGAGTAGATTCCTGTAGGAAGCACCCCATAGAGACTGAATCCCTTCTCGTCCTTACTACCCCACCCGCCCCTCTTCCACGAGTCTTGGTGGTTCCAAGTCTGTGGGTTTTCTCAGTGGTTTGTCCACACACCACCTGGTTTTCCACCTGTTTACAGTCTGGAATGAGGTCTCACTTCACACGTGCGATAAAGCAGTGGTTCTCACCCTTCCTCATGCCGCGACCCTTTAATACAGTTCATGTTTTGGTG